GGTCAGAAGTCCCTTCCATTTTGCAACGACACTCGCTGTTTTTCAGCTTGGCTCGGGAGTAAGAAGGGGAAAGGAGGTGCTTTTTAAACCCTCATTGAACTCCAGCCAAGCTCTCCTTTGGGGGCAGTCTCCCAGGACTGGCTGGGCCAGAGCAGAACTCCAAGGCCTGGGGGCCGGAGGAGTGGTGTCCCCGGCTCCCCGGCCTGGCCCTTCGGGCAGCAGGAGCTGACGCGGGGAATGCTGCCCGTGCCCTGGCCTGCTAGCTCTTCAAGGGCAGGTACAAATCCACTGTGTATATGTATTCTCAAGTTTAAATAGATTGTACATATTGAAATGTAAATGAACTGTACAACAGCAATCTCTATTTTTCTTGACAATTACATAGCGGTATATATTTGTTACACATGCTTGTATACTCTTCATTAACCCTTTTGATATTATGTACAGTTAAGTTGATTAAATATTTTATTGATAAAACTCCTGCTGGCTGGTCTTTGGGGACCTGCTTTTGACTTGTTGTTCTGTGTTAGACTTGTTTGTTGTTCTCAACACTGAGAATAGTCATCAACCATGTAGGTGTTAGCAGTGACTGCATTAAAATGGGGTGCCTGGGAGCCCTGGGCTCATTAATTAGTCTTTATGCTTATCATCCCCCCTTGAAACACTTCAGGCTTTTATGTGGAACTGTCCCCCAGGATGGGGGCCTCGGGAGTGGGGCTTGCTCCCTGGGTCTTGTGACGTGCGCAACACCCATAGGACCCTGTGCTCGGCCCCACACTGCAGGCCGCCGCTGCCCCGGAAGGGAGATACCGGCTTGGGTTCAGGGGAGAAGAGGCCAAAATGCAGTGAGAAACATTTTCTCTCTGGAAAATGAGCACGGTCGTGTGCAGCGAGCAAGCGCTGCCACTGTCAGCAGCTGGGGCGGGGGCGTTTGTTTTCCTGTGTCGCCTGTGCTGTGGGACCTGTCTCCGTGCCCAGCGAGGCCTCGGGTCCCCCAGTGCGGGGCCCTTTTGGTCAGGACTCTTGGAGGTGAGTACAGAGGTCCACGCTCAGTGATGCGAACGTGAGTCCTTCCAGATCTCCGCCCCTCCCCGCCCTCCAGCGGCGCAGAGGACCCTCCCCACAGCTTTCTGCGGCTCCGCAGCCCTCACAGCTACCTTTCCCTGCAGGTGAAGGGGAAAGCTCTTTCATCTGCTGCTTCGTGTTTCTGGGACAGGAGTAGTGATGGAGCGGCCACTGCGGGGAGGTAACAGGGACCTGCCCTCACGATGACTTGTTACCGGGAGTAGCTCCTGTGGGACGTGGGCCTGCGTGACCCAGCATTTGGCGAAGGGCGGTGCGCGTCCGCCCGCCCACGGGGCTCCGGCGGCCCGAGGGTGTTCATGCCAGTCCCCGCGGCCGTGAGTCTCTCTCTGGAGAAAAGCTCAACAAAGTCTGCTCCCTTTTTGGTCCTTAACCTCATTGCCACTAATTAAAGGAGTCTCTCTCTTTGGAATAAAATTTCAGTTCTCCTTTAACCAACTCATTTGGGAGGGACAATACATGCATAAGCCTTATGATTCTGCCATCAAAGAGTGTAGTCTGGTCCTGCTTTGACCACAATAGCCCTTCATTTATAGCAGTTCTTCATTTTCTTATTTTTCGGTCTCTCCTTGACCCAGCCCCTCATTCTGCGATCAGACGATGACACTTTCAGAAGCGAAGCGGCAGTTACAGGGCAGTTACAGAAAGGAAAGCCGGGGTGGTGTTTAAGAGCCCATCTCATCTCCCAACCTCGGACACGGCTCCTCTGAAAGGCTCTGCGACCCCTGAGGCTACAAGGTGACGGCTGGCTTCTCCGGCCCCCGCCCCCGTGCGCCCTGGTGCCTGGCGAGGCGCCATGGAGGGCGGAGCAGCCTGACCTGGTCACAGGCCCTGCGCTCCTGTGCCCCGGGGATGCTATACACTCTCCTCAGGCGGAACAGTGATGGGGGACAAACCCGTCCACCGCAACGTGTCACCGTTGTGTAGCCACGGACGTAGGGCTGTGGGCGTCTGCCGAGCCCTAATCACATGCAGGTGCGCAGCCCTGCAGCAGTGCCAGTAGGAGGAAGCCCAGATGTTCATGGAGGGCCCGAGCGGGGTGGGTTTGCGAGGGCGGGATCCTCGCCCCTGCAGGAGGGTCCGGGGGAGGCTGGCCCTGCAGGTGCACCCGCACCCCTGCCTGTGATGGACGCCCAGTCACAGGGTCACATTCCCCTCCCGCGGAAGAGGAATTTTCCCATGGACTTACCCAGCAAGGAAGTCTGTCCCGACGTGGGGGCAGGGGGGTGTGTGTGTGTGTGTGTGGGGCCGGGGGAGGTCAGCACGGGCCCCTCGGCCAGAATGTCTGAGGAATGCAATAGAAAATGAAAACGCAGTGCTGCCCCAGAGCACAGTCTTGTGCTGGTGCTGGAACTCCCTCTTGGGGCGCTGTATGGGGTTGGTGCGCAACGAATAATATCCACATATTTGGTAGTCGCCAATACCCAAACCCCAGAGGTTTTCTAATCTTAGGAGAATGGAAGGAATAGTTGCAGCTGGAGGGGGGTGAGAACAATGGGCCTCGAGGCGGAGTGGCCTTGCTTTCCTGTCGTCCCCCCGAGCCAGAAGGTGAACAGTCCTTGTCCTGGGATCTCTCTGACCAGCTGCCAAGAGGTAACAGAGCAGGCCCACTTCACACGTGCATTTACGAGTTCGGTCCTCAGGGGCCTGGAGTCCCTGGGCGGTGATTCCCGGCTCGTTGGACCGACGGAGAGTTGTGGTTTTGAGAGCTTGCCTGTTAGGCGCGGTAGAAACTTCCATTAACTTAGATAACAAAAGGTATTGACTAATCCATGTGGCGGGCCTATCCTTCAAGCCCTGAGAATACAGAGATGACTGAGACCCAGGTCTGCCTCCTCGGAGGCCCCTTTCAGGGGCAGGAAGGGGTGTGGACAGCCAGGAGGTGCAGGCTGGTAAGAACGGAGTTCCTGCAATCACGGTAAATACTTCCATAGAGCCATGGCCAGGGGACCACCAGGGCTTGGAGAGAGGGGAGAAAGCGAGCCCCGGGAGGCAGGCGCAGTTGGCGTTTTGGGCCACGCCTCCAGGGGATGGGGTAGTGGCAGGGGCACCCTGAAAGCTGGAGCAGTTGATGGCAGAGGTGTTGTGCTCAGCGCACCTGCAGAGGGGCTGGCGCGTCCCGAGTGTCGTGGCTGTGGCAAAGGCAAACGTTCAGCACGTCCTCTGGCGCGCGGGCCTTCTTCCCCCAAATGCACTGCCTGAGCCACTTCCCCACCCTGAAAACTGGCCTATTGTATCTTTTGTTCTTTTAAAACTCCTCACTTGCTTCCCACCACCTACTCTTCACTTCCCTGCCAGCCCGGCCCTCACATGCCCCTCCCCTGACTCCCAACCCTCCGTGCCCGCCCGGCTGCCCCGTGTGGCCTCCAAGGGGCAGCACGAGACTGAGGACAGGAGGTGACGAAGGCGGGCTCTGGAGCAGGGGCTGTACTCGGATCCGCGTGGCCACTCGGTAGCTGTGAGATCCTGAGCAAGTCCCTCACCTCTGCACCTCCCTGGTCACCTGTGAAATGAGTATAACCATGACCTGCTCATAGGAGCCTAAAGGAGATGCTGTGAAAGTGTAGGGTGAGCGCGGGTTCTCTCTCTGGCTTCACGCTTCCTTCCTCAACCCCAGCCAAGTTCCACTGTCTCCCTGGCTCTAGGAGCAGCCTCCTCCTCACTTCTCTCTCCTCCAAGGAGTTGGCTCAACAGAGCCAGGGCAACCCAGAGCCTTCGCTGACCTCGCCAGTCTTGCCCTGGAGGCCTCCAGTCTGGTGGAAGAGGACAGGCCCACGGGCCACGTCTGCCCACTGACACCTGGATCAATGTGATCACCCACCTACATCTCTTCGGGCACAGGCAGGAATCCCAGCCCCTTGGAAAAGGAAAGCTTTTCTGTCCCTGGCCCTCCTGCAGGAGAGCTTTGGCCAATAGGCCTCACGGGTGTATTTGCTCACAGAGCACGTGGAGTTTCACATATACTTCCAGCCACTGATGGCCCCTGAAACCCCACCCCCCCAAGAGAAAGAGGAGCCACGTATATCCTCTCCTACAAGAGAAGGCCAGGAACAAAGGCAACGCCTGGTGTGACTTAAGAAACACTTGGCTCCCTGCACTTTTCCAAATGGACTGTAAGCCCCTCAAGGTGATGTTGGAGCATCTTGGCTGTGTGTGTGAGTTCTGCATGGTGCGGGGCCAGATGGCGGAGCCTGGTGAGCAAGTGTCTCCCTGCTGCCTCGCACCCTCCCTCCCCCCACTGTGAACCAGAAATGCTAAGACGGCGAGAATCAAGTTTCAGGCTGGGTGAAGCAATGCAGAAACCGAGTATCGGGGGTCCTCCACTGCACCAAAGACAAGAGAGAGTAAAAGAAAAATAAGTTTGCTATCATTTTCCTTTAGGTACCATTTTATACCTCATCAACCACAAGCCAGACAGGATGCTCCGTATCATGTGTGTCACCTCATTTGCCCCCATTTAAAACCAACCAACCAACCCCCTCCCCAGATCCAAAGTCTGGGCACTGGCTGTCCAGGGATTAAGTGGCAGAACAGAGGGCCAGAGGGCCCTGGTCAGAGGGCCAGAGGGCCCCGGATCCTTGGACATCTGCTACAAGGGCCACGGGGCTCACTGCCTGGGCAATCCCGTCCCAGGGTGCAGAGCAGACCAGGAACCACCGCAGGCACTGGCCACACTCTAGTTTAGGCTTTTTGTTCCCATTGGACAGCCCCATATGAAGTTACGTCTTTGACAAGGACCATCCATGTGGCTGACTGGGACATACAGGCAGAAATGCTTGGGAAAATAGATTTCATCTACTGCTTATCAATCTCAGTCTTTTATTTTTGGTATTATAAGCATTAATAATAATAAGCATTATTATTATTGCCCATCTTTAATTAAGATACTCTTGGTCAGGCATTGTGCTAAATGCTTTAATTTTATCATCTTCTCTAATCCTTCCAGCGGTATGAGGTATGCATTATTATTAACCCTATATTATGAATGAGCAGCGAGGCATGGAGAAATTCGACAGAGCTGCCTACAAACGGCACAGATTGTAAGGCCTCTGGAGTTCCCTCCCGTACCTCGTCGCCTCATATCATCGCATTAGATGCATGGACGCATTTATAGGGTCTTGTGTTTAATTCCTACTGAAATAAAATGAGCTTCAACCTCCTGAAATCTGATTCTTCCTTCTCTAAAAGAAACTTTGAGAAAAGTGCCTTTTCCATTTCACAGAGCGACTCTGACCTGAGCGACTCAGGAGTACTGCTCAGACTGTGCCCCTCCTCCCCCAACACACGGAGATCGGGCCAGGCAAGCTCGTAAGTGCTGGAGAAACATTTATTTCAAAAATTTATTTGATGCTTAGATGATAAACAGGAATGAGAGCCAGTAATATTTTATCATTTTACTTGTGATCATTTTGGAAGCTCTGAGAAACAAAAAGATAATTTCACACTTGTGGACTTTTGAAACATGGAGTAAGGTTGTGAAATGATGCTAAAACAAGCTGAGGCCGCTGGTCTTTGTTTCAGTAGATACAATTCACCCAGTACTTGCTCCAACACTGAGCACCTCCCATATGCAAGGCACTTCCGAGCTGGGAGTCTCAACCGCTAATGCCAGATCTCTCGAAAGCCTTCCCTGCAGGTGCCAGTAGGGAACACATGTGCGGCCCCGTGCCAGTGGCCTAGGTGTGCGCTGGCTCCTCTCTGGAGCCAAGATTGCTTCTTGCCTGGAGCTTGGATCTGCCCCTCTGAAGCCATTTACTCTGCTGCAGAAGCCCCCATCTACTAGTAACTGCTTAAGTGCTCACCACGGGGTTGGCAGAGTACCAGGGCCGAATCTTTCATAGGGGTCTTAGGTTTTGAGAGGAAGGCCAACACCCCATTGTCCTTAAGCCCGAGGGATTCCTCCAGGAGAAAACCGAATGTTTCTGATCTGTGGTGGGCCATCACTGCGCTCGGTGCCATTTATTGGCTCCCAAGGCCCCAGGATTGAGTCAGTTTGGGGAAGGCAGCAATATTGTTGGCCCCCTCTAGGCTGGTGAATAAGCTGCTCCTCCACTGGATCTCAAGGTGCCCACAGGAGGTGAATTTATATAACTCAATGACTTGTTTTGGTTCATTAGTAAAACAATTCCTTTACAACTAATATGCTAATGCAGAAATGGAACAATCATTTATGGTAATGGTAATTCTCTATTTAGCAATTTAAAGGTGCCCTTTTGAAAATGACTTAGTGGAAGATCATCAGAAGATAGGAATCATAATGTCAACTCTATCCTAGTTGACATTAAGACATTAAGAGTAGTTCAGACTCTATCCTCAATGCCTAGCATGGCACTTGTCTCATTGCTGGTCCTCAGGAAGGAAAGCACAGAAGGGGTAACTGTGTTTGGTAGGGACAGGCTGACCTGGGACAGCCCAGGGCCTCCTGGTCCTTGCTCTGGAGACACGGAGCCTGCAGTGAGCTCCCAACCCGGCAGGCTAAGGCCCAGCCCGGAGCCCGCTGGCTGTCTTGTGGCAGGAGACGCAGTCAGGATCCTTCGACAACTCTTGTCTGCTTAGTTGAGCAGAGGAATGTCCGGTGAAGTAGAGTCTCTGTCTGGCGCAGGTAGACCAGGAAGTCACAGTCCTGGCACGGGCAGTGCTGCCCCTGAGGTGGGCTCCGCGTGGCCTGTGCCACTGGTGGCCAGATACGAGGCTGACTTGGTGGTTTGTGACACAGGTCTGCCTGCAGGCTGTCCCGGGACCCGGCCTGATTCTGATGACCTCAGCCAAGGCCTCTGCTTTGGGTGATCTCTGGCTTCTGTCCTTAAGGGATACTCTGGTCCACTGCCAAGATCTGGAGTGTGAGGGTAACCTCCTGGTGAGCTTATACTCTTCAAGTATCTGACCATACATGGAACATTCACTGATCTCTTTTATATTTTCTAGCAGGTATCTCCTCATCTCCTCTAGGAGACCGTTTTCTATAATGTAAGTCAAAATCAACTAAGTTCAGACTTCCTTTTGTCTGCAAGGATCCTGCCTACCAACATAAACTGCATGGTGCCCCAGGGCATCTCTTGCAAACCTCAGAGACCTGTTTAGATCCCTATGTTCCTGAGTCTGGGAAAGTGTGTGGTTAAACATAAGGAATGTTTCATTAACTATGTTTGCTTCAGCCTTGTACCATGGGAAACTGGGAGCTGGTAATTTTTAAGCTAAGAGGTTCTCACTTTTTTTTACTTCCAATATCAAATATTGAAATAAAGCATTTACCTACTAAGTCTACTACTTCCTGCTAAGAGTCAGGGCCCCTGCCTCTCTGCGCCAGCAGTCAGTCCTTGTCTCCTTATGCCTCTGCTTCTATTTTGGCCAGATCATCCTTTAGCCAGTCAGCTACCATCTCAGCCATTTCCTGGTTAGAGTAGAGGACAAAAGCGTGTCTGATATTTTTCTCACAGAGTCGAATATCTCCTTCTGGAAAATCTTTCTTTATGTCTTCATAGTACTCTTTTGGACACCAAGGATCTATAGTTCCATAGTAAAATGTAAGCTAAAAGACAAGACAAAAACATTTTATTGGAAAACACTTTCACCTCCAATACAGGTATGATAGCAACAACCTGCTTGGAAAACGTCCCCCATGCCTGGCCCTGCATGCCAGTCCCAAGGCTCCCTCCAGAGAGGGGCTCTTCCAAGGCAGCGAGCCCTTGTGGTTTGTGGGAGTGAGCTGAGAGGCCCGTGACAGGAAGCAACCCGGCAGGGAGAGCCTTGTGTGACAGACCACCCACGATTCACTAAAAGGACTCGCCAGCAAAGCTGCATGTGTACTGGGGCTGGGAAGGACTCTGGAGAGATGACAAATGAGAACAAAAAGAGTTATTGAGATGAAATCACTGCCGAATGACTAGTAACCATTCGTTACACGCTTAATGGTTTTCACACAGCCAATGGTAGGCGTATGGGGCATGTTTGTTGAATGGACGCAAAGATGAATCAGGTAGACTGAGGCTTCTTGATGAAATGTGATCAGAACCTCAAGAGTGTCTATGACATTTTTACAAATAGATTCACGTGGCAGGAGAGTACGTGGATTCTGTGGGGAGGTGTTATACTCAATCCCACCTCAGGTGACCGCAGGCAGATTGGATGGAGATAAGTCTTCTCTGAGGCCTTACTAAGTAAGACTGATCTACAGCTGACCATCTCTCTCTCTCTCTCTCTCTCTCTTTCTCTCTCTCTCTCTCTCTCACACACACACACACACACAAATATATGTGTATGGGTTCACACATGCATATATGTATATATAAGTACGTACATGTGTCTATGCACACACATTTATAATAAGCACCTACCATGTGTCTAGCTCTAGGCTGTCCTCCACTAAAATCTAGGTTCTAGTTCTTCTGTATTTCTAAAACAAAAAGGCAACGAAAGTGAAATCTTATTCAGAGAGGTATCTAGTGGTAATTTCTACCAAAAAATTTTTAAAGATCCTATGACATCTGTTGTCACTGAAAAAAAGAGCTATGCCTGGCTCCCGCCCTTAAGTGGCCAGTTACACTCACTTGTAGTTTCTGTAATACACCACATTCGCTCGCTCGCTCAAACACTTATTCATTAATCCGTTCAGCAAATACTTAATGAGCATCGACCCTGTGTTAAGAACCTGGGATACAGATAAGACGACACACTTTCTGGTGGGGGACGGCTGGAGACACCGTGTACAGAAGATGACACAGAGCCCGGACAAGGGACAGCTGGAAGGAGCCCATGGGCAGGAAACGGTTCCCCAGAGAGTTAATGCTGGAGTTGAGTCTTCAGGTTGGGGGAGCACAAAGCAGGGAGCAGCCACGCGAAGTAAAACATCTGAAGGAGCATGGCATGCTTGGGAATCGGAAGGAACTCCGTAAGGCTGGGACGTAGGATGGTGGGGGACGAGACTGGCAAGGCAGGGAGGCACTGGGTCATGAACTTCTGTGTCATGCTGAGGAGGCCGTGCACTGCTCTGGAAGTCCACAGGGGCTACCAAGTGACTTCACACAATGATGTGACGTGATCAGGTCTGAATGGAGGAAACTTACTTTGGCTGCAATGGCGAAGTGATTGGAGGGGATCAAGTGGTGGCGGAAGGGGATGTGGGAAACACAGGTGATCGCCCACTGGATGATTTTGCTGTATCAATCACTATAGCCATCAACTGACTAGGAACTGGTGAAACTGCCCTTAGAAAAGCACCCGCCTTTTGTTACAATAACATTATGACTGAACCAATACTTAAAGAGACGGTTAGTTATAAAACACTTTAAAAAGGAATATATTTAATGTAGTACTCTGGAGGGTCAATTACTAACAACTAAACATTGAGTTGCAGACCTATCCTGAATCGCTTCATAGAAATTTTTCTGGTTGTTACCTGGAGCTTTAGTTTTGAATGAGGCAAAGGATTGGTGGCTCATGGATTTCTCACTTAACTTATTCTTCCCATGCCCCTATTTCTGCTCACTACAACCACTTCTGGGCACGCCAAAGCCCCTAAAAAGCAAAGTCCCTCTTGCCGTGGCTCTCGGCAGACTACGGCGTTCTCTTCGCTTCCTGGAGAGCCAGCACTTGTCTGGCTCTGCTGCCCTGGCGCCAGCCTCTGCGGAACTCTGCCACGCCCGACCTCGCAGCCGGGGGCGGGTGTTCTGTCCAGCTGTGGAAATACACGTTTCCCAGAATCCCTCAGCAACCACCCTGCTCCAGCTTTCCTTTGAAACACTGCTGGGAGCACGCGCGGTCTGCAGGCATTACCTATCCATCCAGGAGGCCAATACCTGCAGTTTGCTCTAGGCCACCCCCCCCCCCCTTACCACCAAGAACCCTTTAAATTACATCCAGGAAGCAGCGTTTGGAACAGTCACTGTGCACAACTGTCCAGCACCTCCTCGGAGTAGGAGAAAGTGTTGATGAATCAGGAAGTTCAGACTTGGGTGCACAGGCCCCGAGCCTGCTCCTCTGCCCCAGGGCACGCTCTGGCTGGCAGATGCCTGGACGCTGAGGAAGGCGCTCTGGGGACCCCCTCAGCAGGACAAGCTGGGCTCCCCCACCCAAGGGGTCAAGGCAGAAAAGACCTCCCCCATCAAGCCCCTTGGACAAGGAGACCACCACCAGCACACACACCTGCTTTGCTTTCTGCCTGACATTTTAGGCTGCTTCGATGGCGAGCTCTGTATTTACTTTTAGGTGATGTAATTACTACTTGAGTCGTCTCCAATGAGAGGCCCAGACTGAAGAGTCTCAGCACTGGGGAGAGGCCATCCCTCCCCCACGCTGTGGAGCTGTCAGCCAGCGGGGCACGAGCAATAACATGGCTTACAGGGCGGGATGCCTTCCGGTTTCAAGAGACAAGTCGTGTCCAAGGAGTTACAGGGCACATGCTGCCCATGGCGGGTGCAGGGAACCTCAACACAGAGCGACGCCAATGTGCAAGGTGGTGTAACGCTGAGGAGTACAGGCTCCCATCCGTGCATCTGATTTTATTTCTCGATCCTCCTCGGCCAGTAACCAGATAGAGCTGGCTGTATTTGGTTAAATGTCTAAGTTCTGGTGGGGTAATGTCTTGGTTTTTTGTTTTTCAAGCTCTTCTTCAGAATATGTTTTCATAGAGAAGGGCTCTCTGTGAAAATCTTGGCTGACAAGTAAAACACGTAGTTATTTCTAATGCCTTCACATACACTGGCCCAAGACATTCCTGTTCCCTATAGATTATTAGTCACAGGCAATAGATCTGAACAGAGGACTCTGTATCTGTAATCTTAAGCAGGAAACTAAAAAAGGATGGGGTGTATGGAGGCACTGGGGGAGGGGAGGACAGGTGGCGTAGAAAGGAGTAACTGGACACTAAAGCACAGGGGTTAAGGGGGTATGGTATTATGATGTCGATATGTAAAAATGAATCACAGCAGATGAGGAACTGATGAAAACAGAGTAATGTGCCTGGCGCTGTGCTAAACTCTGTGCTCCCTGAGTCCTTATAATAGTATCTGGGGAAGGTATTTTACATTAAAGGCAGCTGAGGCTTAGAGAGACTAAGTTGCTTACATTAAAACAATTAGTGAGTTGTAAAGCTGGGTTTTAATTCAGAGACAATATTCCTAATCAAGACCTTTCACTACTGTTTACAGTGAACAATGAACTGACCAATGTCATTAAAACACAAAACCCGGAGACTGGGAGGTCTTAAGCCAGACCTGAAAACGGGGTACGACATGGGGGTGAGCCATGACAGGCACACGCCCAACCCCTCGACTTCAAGGGTCCTTCCTTCTGTGCCACCCTCCTGCGGCCCACGCGCCACGGGCTGGCAGCTGCTGTGAAAATACTGGAAATGTCACCTGAGCTTCGCAGGCTCTCAGCGGCATGTTTACATGCAGAGGTTTATATGAAAATAAATTATTTTCTGTGGGTTATTTCTCCGTGGCACTTGCTTTGATATGCATGAGGACTGATAAAAAGCACACATATTGAGATGGAAATTATTCTGGGCTCCTGAACTGTTGTCATGTTAAGTAATCCATTTCTCTGTTAAACACAAAATTTAATTTTCTCAGGCCCAGATTCTGATTTCCCAGGACAGTGCTGTTCTTCTCCTCACGTGTTTTCTGCAGCTAGGTGGGGTCAGGGTTACTACAGTCTCTGTGCTCACGGCCGTTATTGTCCTCCAACTCCCCGGGATGGCCGAGGGGACACATCCCTGCTGACGCTTCCCAGCAAGCTGCTGCGGCCTGAGCCACCCGAGATCCTCACTGGTCACTTCGCATGCTCTGTTTTCTTTTCTCTTTTCACTTTTTGCTGCCAAAACTGACAGAGTCACCAAAAATGACTCTAGGTTTAGCTCCCATCTGGTATTGGTTCAGTGGCTGGGATTCGGAGGTAAGAGAGTCTGACCCTGGAGAAGCTGCCAGAGCGGGGGAAACACAGGCGTGTCCAAACTGGCCTGTAAACGCAACAGACCGAGAGGGTAAGTGGAGCGCGTGGCCCGGGCAGCAAACCTGTGTGCTGGCCTCGGAGTCAGCAAAGCTCTGTCGTTATACATTTTGAGTTGCTGGTTTTTATGCATTAATAACAGGATTTATTGTAAGAACAAAAGAAATATTAGAAACCATCGTGTGCCTCAAGTTTATGAATGTGATTTTGCTAATAACTAACAAAAATCACTTGTAATGATATAGCAACATCTTAAAATATTAAACATGAAAAAGCCATACCCAAAATCTTTATCTGGTGCTATATATATAATTTAGCCGTTTGCAACAATATGGAGGGACCCTGAGGGCATTATGCTAAGTGAAATCAGTCAGAAAGAGGAAGACAGATATTCTATTGACCTCCCTCATATATGCGATCTAAGAAAAAGCAAACTCATAGAAACAGAGAATAGATCTGTCGTTGCCAGAGGCAGGGGTGGGAGGGGGGATTGGGCGAAGGGGTCAAAAGGTACAGTCTTCCAGTTACAAGATGAGTAAGTCCTGAGAAAGCAATGTGCAGCATGGCGATTCTAGTTAACAC